ACAAATGTTTTCAGAACATTTCTTATGGTAATTACTAGTACAGCACGCGTAGCAGGCAGGAAAAGGAGCTGCTACAGCTTATGTACAAAAAATTCCAATCATTTCGCTCATGGGCGAAATGATGATAGCGGCACAACTCAAAAAATCAACTTTCGCGATAAGTGGGTTTAAAGTTTTCATTGATAAGCAGAATGCATAAGAAATGCTTTTGTTTGCTTAAACGAAGATTACCTTCAAGTTGAATTAAGAGTTGTGCAAGTATTGCTGCAAAAACAATGTGTATTTTCCTATTTACACACGTTCTTAATTCGAAACTCGTGTTTTTTTAGTAACCCAAGAGCTATTTGTTGCTCAACCCTGTAACCTATGAGCTATTTGTTGCTCAATGCATGCTCATGAAAAAAAGATTCCAAAAAATCGTGGCCTTTTGTTTTCAAAGACAATGAGAAGGTTCAATAAGTTTCAAATAAATCTTTTACAAGCAGTGTTCTAAGATATATTTAGCAAAATTGAAAGAACAAAATAAATGCTACTATTTTTTATGAAAGTGCTTTTCATATAAAAACCGCTTTTTGTAAAGCAGGACTGTTCTGGTTTTGTTACAAAAGCAATGCTTCTCACAGCATTAGCAGATGCATAAAAGGTAATCCATTTTGTATTATTTTTAAGTTTTTTGCATTGAAACATTTCTGAAAGTTTTCGACTCGGAAAGGACTCAATCATCGATTAATTTAAATTTTATTCTACGGTACGTTCAATAATCTAAATCATTCCCATCTAAAACACACCATCGAAAGACCACTGATACATTAAAAAAATTCTAACTACAAATCACGGAAAACCACCGATCCCTGCCAGCTACAGCTCACCAACTTCCTGACAAATTTCGTCGTCTAAAAACAACCACTCGACAAGTGACGGGTCAACAAGAAAGAAGTGGAGATTTAAATTAAATAAACAACCGGTTACTTTTATTTAAAATCGTTCTATGATAAAAATAGTTCAACGAAGAAAAAGACTGGGAAATAGAAATTTTCATTAAAATATCTATTAGTAATCATCAATTTGGGGTGGAAATATTTATGTGGAAGAAGAATTCTTTAACACTTCACATATTTCAAAGTTGTAATGTATACATGAAATGTAATTTGCCAACCCAAACATTTTTATATAAAGTTTTTTTAAAGTCAGTATGTTTAACTAAATTTTATCGCAAATTTATATTATTTTAATTTTGGAATAAACTTCCTGAAGTTGTAGATTATTTATAATAGGAATTTTTTTTGTGTGGAAAAAATATAATTTAATCAACAACAAAAAAGTTTGCAAAAAGTGGCTATTAAACGAGAAGGACCTGGACCTATTTATATCGGTCAAAGATTCTTTAAGTTTGAGGAAAAAGTGGCTACTAAGTTCTAAGAATCTCCCAGTCACTGGCTCATAACTGAAAAATGTTTTCAGGTCCATTGTAGTTCGTTTTGGGTTGTTTCGCGACCCATTCTCGCTGCTTCGTTCTCTCATCAATTACTGAAGCATAACAGTTAAGCATTCTTGTCAACGCTATATGATCGTGCATATACAAAAACGTCCCGCCATTTCGTGTTTACTCGCTCTTAAGACATCCAAAAATATTGAGAGAGAAAAAAATAGTATACTCTATAATTAATATAGGTATTGATGTTTCTTTTTAGTGAAAAAAAATACTGAACTTGCCAAGAAAATAATGTTTATATATATGTTTCTATATATTTTGGTTTAGAAAAGCTGCATTTTAACCCTTTGACGGTAATGAACAAGTTCAGCTCGCAATCGAATCGTGCCTCATATTGCGCGCAAACGAGTTCCGCTCGGGAGCAAGATTTTGACCGTAATGGTTAGTAACGAGCACTACTCGCGTAGTGAAATTTTTCCCCAATGCACGCTGACGAGTTGAGCTCATTCGCCATCATTATTCTGCATTGACTATGTTAAAAACGAAAAGTAAATAAAACTGTTATTTATGTACTACGAATACTTAAAGAAATTTTTAAAACGCGTGAGGCGAGCTATCTACCGCATCCAGAGATGCCAACTTGCTCCGCTTTGTAAAATAGCATTTCCTAATGATAGCGAAAGTCAAGTTACTTTCAGCTTAGTATTTATCCTTTTAAGTAATTTTTTTCACCACTAAATATCAAAAACTATAAGTAACATATAAAATGCAACGTGAAAACAACAATCTACTGGTTACTCTATTAAAAAGTAGGCGTAACTGTCCTTTTCCAACGAAATTTACTACATAATTTGCTACCACTTTATTATAACAATTCCAGAAGACGGAGCAGTTGACATCGCCAGAGAAGGGTGACATTTTCGGAAGAACGGAGGTGGAAAACAGATGCCACTTTCGACTACTGTTTGCACGTAATACTGCGCGAATTAATGAAACGAAAACTGCTCATTTCCCTGACCGTCAAAGGGTTAATTCAGAAAACCGAATCGAAATTCGTTAACTTATTGTAAATGCTGTTCCGCGAATGTTGTTCAGAAGAACGCAATTACGAGGTTTGGTTTCGATAGCGAATAGAGGCCAAACACCCATAGTTATTAATTATTAATAAAATGTCGCTGATAACGAGTATGAAAGTGTAACTTTAAATTATCGTTGGGAGAGGAAGATTGAGGTGGTAGAAGTTTGATTTCTTGCATTAATACGAGTCATTCAAAATATTTTAGCATAAAAAAGTATAAATTGAAAAAGAAGAAACGAATTTCGTTATTGTTTATGCACAATGTATCAGCTAACGTAAGTGATAACTTTTGCATCTCGTCTTCGAATAAGGTTAAAAGAAATAATACATTGGCTAAATTATTTTACTTATTTATTTTGGAAAATCAATACTTTTATACCTAATTAATAAGTATAAAGTCTTCCTGATTAATTATTAAAATTGAAGTTTAGCACATGAAAAGATCTAAAGTAACTAGGAATATAAAAGTAGTTGTTGAGTACATGAAATAATATAAAATAATATCTTAAATTTTGTAGAGTGCATTAATTTCCTTCTTTCTATAATTGAACTTTTTTCATGAAATTTGCATTTTTAAAAGCGTGATTAATGTAATATATATCTACTTAGGTCTAGATCAAGTAGTCATGCAAGACGATGAGCATCTTGTCATGTGGTACAAGAAAGCCATCTTCTAAACAATGTATCTTTTTGTTTAATAAAACAGTTTTGACTTTTGCTTTTTTTATTGCTATTGATTTTATACTCATTGTCTCTTAATATTTTAATAAATAGGAATAAGACAATCAGATGTTGAAACATCATTTTATTCTATAACCAGCGTTGAACAGCAGAGTCAATTTTCGGTTTTACAACAGTAGAGTTAAAATCCAAAGAAACTTGTAATTTTAAACTCAAATCAGAATATAAAGTGACTCCTGGACTAAGAATTGAGGCAGGATAACATTCGCGGAGAACTTTTTTGCATTACATGTAGAAGAAAACAACAGAAACCTCCCACAGTTAGGAGTTTTCAGGAATTAAAAAAAAAATTTTAAACGTGAACTTTTGGCAGAGTCATATGCAAAATAATTCTTTCTTTTGGCGTAATATTGCACAGTTAAATAAGTTTCGCTGGAGGAAGAAAAAAATTTATTGTCCAGTATCTATTATTTAAAAGAAATGTCAATAAAATTGGCGTATAAATTTTAGAAATCGTGTCCGGAGACTTTAAAAGTATTCTTGTAATGGCATTGTGGATCTCAAAAGCGAAGAAGGAGTAGATTTCTGTCTTTACTTTGCAAGTATAGAAAGGTTTAAAATGCATCGTATTATCGCTTTTGCTATTTTTTTTTTCTTTTTTTACGTTTAAAAATCTACGTAAATTCCTCTACGAAATCGGAACATGAAAGTTTATATTATGAAAAAATTTAAAGAAGTGTTTTGATGATAATGAAACGAAGAACAAGCTTGGCATACTCATCAGTACGTGTTAGTTCCAGACATTTTTGTTGTAAGCCTTCATTTACTTAACCAGTTCATATGCCCATATTTTCTGTTTATTACAGCATAAAACACTACCCCACCCGCCATATTCTCATTGATACCCGTTCATAAGTGAGCCACATTCACATTTCACTCAACAAAGGAAAAACACAGACGGACATTCATACCCTAAACGAGATTAGAATTTAAGATCATTGACTTCGTAGCAAAGTCCCAACAGAGAATAGTCATACTTATTCGAACAGAGTTGTCAACTAAGATATTTTATTTTTACTTTCTTTTATATATATAAGAAAAATAAAGATATAAAACAGTTAAAGAGTTTTAAAAAAGTTGTCAGCGTGGTGCTTAAAAATTGTAGCACACTGCAACTTTTGCTGGCCTTGTTCTCAACGACACAATTGTCACATTTTTATCAATCTCTCATCGTCAACACTTTTCAGGATCTTGATGATATCTTAACTTCTAACATAGCTATATATCTTTTTCGGTGACCCAAGACTTAGTGATGAACTTAATACAGCTCTCTCGGTTTTTAGAAAATACGGCAACTATAGTTCGTTCACCAGGAGTTGGCACTTGGCTCCGCCTTCATCACGTGGTATCGGATGATTATATTTCGCTATTTTGGGCAGAAGGATGAGAACAAGGCTGCTATTTGGTGATATTTCTCTCTTTTTATTGAATAGTTTGATCTTTTTGAGATATTTTTCTGGGAAAAAGTTTTTAAATATAAATTAGCTAGAATAACGAAAGGTATAATAGCTGATGATAAAGCGAAGTAAGTGACTGAAAAAGAATTCACTGTTTGTGTTTGGCCATCACCTTCTACATCAGAAAGCCTCCACACCCGGTTTCTTATAAGTAGTCTGAGCAGACTATTTAAAAAGTGAACAGTTTGAGCTCATGAAACCAAATTCTATTTTAAAAGTGACTGAGAGGAATTTGTCATATATATTTGAGAATTGAATCTGTAGTGGTAGAGAAGTAAATAAGACAAACTAATCATATTCAAAAATTAAACAAATTTTTAGACATACATTTGCAACCACTGTATTATTTCTACTAGATTTTCTATTAAAGGGCTCTTTCGTAAATTGGTTTGCCTTTATAGTGGTCTGATCGGACTCTCTATAAAAAACCGTGTGGAGGCTTAGCGCGCATTAGAGGTTATCTCGATTTAAAGCTGGGAAATGCTTTTCCTCTTACTCCCCCGCCCTGAAATGAACTCTGCGTCCGAGGAGGTGGAGCCAAGTGCCAACTCCTGGTGAACGAACTATAGTGGTATTCGTTCATCGAATTCTACCCCTGATAAAAAGGGGAAAGATTGTAGCGTGACTACCACTCCGATTATTAAACATCAATTAAATTGTATGTATGTATGCCAACTCGTTTTTTATTGAACCTTTCAGGAGTAAAAATTTTTTGATTATACATTCTCAGAAATAAATGTCTTCGGTTGAAAGGTTTTGTATTAAAAACATAAATTTTAAGATCTAGTTTTTTTTAAAATCAAAAACAGTCTGAAAATTTGTTATGTTGGGCAGCAGAATTCGCTGAACTGTAGAGGTTTCTAGTTTAGTAGTTTTCATCGTATGCGTAAGATGTAATTGAATAAAATAAGCTGATTTATGGCTTTAAAAAGAACTCTTATAAACTGTGAGAATGGTTATCAGATGAAAATGTTTCTTTATTCTTGAATTTTTCTGTCTTATTTTGAATTGTAAAGTTTGATGATAAATACTGATGCAATTATTTGTAGACGCATATTCTTTTCGTAATTCCATTTCATTTTCGTATTTTCTTCGAACAATATAATGTTATTGGAAGGTATATACATTTATTTAAATTTTGTTAATTCCTTTTTCACTGGCACTTAATTTTATGAACTTAAAAAATTTCATAAAATTAACCAAAACGTCAAACAAATTATATATTATAGATCAAATCAAAACATAGTTACGGGTTTTAACATCATGATTAGCTAAAAGATTTTAATTAACGGAACCCTAAAGTTCTACAGACCTTGAGAACCTCTGATCTAACTAATCGATGTTGAAAATGCGATGTGCATGCTTATTTGGGATGGCCATCTTGTTTTCTTTTAAAGAATTTTATTCTGACATCGTTTGATTTTCTTTAGTTAGTTTTCGTTCATGTTCTCATCGTTTTTGTTTTTTTTTTGTCGTATGCCTGCTTAGGCAGTGGGGGTGCGATTGTTCCTGTTTTTTAGTGGCGCCATCTATGGCAGGGAATTCGATTTCTGCCAAGCCATGCACACAACCACAACCCGTTTATAGGGCGGGTCACATTCTCACACAAAGGAGAAAGGACATAAAACACAGAGAGAGAAAGACACATCCATGTCTATCTCGGGATTCGAACCCAGGACCTTTCTGATGCAAGGACGCCTCCTATAGCTGAAAGCCTCCACACGGTTTTTTATAGGTAGTCCGATCAGACCACTGTGAAGGATATCCACTTTCCGAACGAGTCACTTAATACTAAATCTAGTTAAAATAAGAAAGTGGTAGCAAATATATGACTAAAAATTCGCTTTATTTATGAATATTATTGGTTTGCATTATTCACTTGTCAACCACTACAGAATCAATTCTCAAATATATAAGATAAACTTCTCTCAATTACTTTTATAAAAGGTTTTGGGTTCATGCGCACAACTGGTTCACTTTTTAAACAGTCTGCGCGGACTACTTATAAAAGACCGTGTGGAGGCTTTTTGACGTAGGAGGTGATGACACTGGCCAGTCGGCGTTCTCATCGTTGATGAGGACATGAAGCACCTGGCTGGTGAGTGTGAGTCAGAATGGAACGGATGGTTGAGAGGTATAATAATCGTATAAGTCGAGTTCCATTTCAGAGTTTTGAAAGAGAATTTGCAGTTTGTGACAGGCTACTAGTGCTCTATAAATGATTTGACATGATCTTACCAATAGAATTTTCTGTTTATGAACCAAACCAAGGTATTTTGCGCTTTTGACAAGTGCACGAACTTGTTTTATTAGATGGATAGTTTTCTGTTTTGTTAGATAACTTGAAATATGGTATTTTAACTTTAAACTTCCAGTCTAGGAGCCAGGTTTCCTTTTACTTTTCGTAAAGCTTTGTAATGTTTTGATTTTTGTAAATCTCGTCGATGCCTGTGTTATCTGCTTATGAAACAGTGATGCCGTTAAAGACCCGTCTGTGCACAGGAAAGTCATCTATAATAATAAAAGGAAGAGTTCGTCTGTGTACCTCTCTTATATGACCAGAACTGTTTGAGGTAGCATTCTGAAATTTGGGATATTTTAGACCCGCTCCTAGAAAACGTTCATTAGATCGCTCTTGGGATCATCTACTTAAAACATCTTCTGCTTAATCCACTAAGGGTCTTGAAATAGGGGTCTTGAAATGAAAAACACATATTTAACACGTTCACGCCGGGGTGACCCACCGGTGAGTCACGCTAGATTGTCTCATCTTGGCAGCGTACCGGAGTAAAAACTGGTAACAATAAATTTCATTTTTTAGTTTTTTTCCGGGAATAATAAAAATCCATAACTACCAATTGCTTTTAACGGATGCAATTTTTATATTGAATTGCTTCTTCGCAGTGATAAATTTCCTTACAGTGAATTGTTATTGTTGAGAATAGATTAACTCCTCCCGAATATTATCTAATGTTGAAATAGTTCTTCTACCAGTATTTTCTCTTTTCCCGTTCCCGTATTTTCACTTTTCCCGGCGTGAACGTGTTAAAATAAGTGGCAGCGCATCTTTCTGTTAACTATCACTTTACATTTCAAAATGCACTATGTCTGGATTTAAAATCTAAATATTACTATACGATATTTAACAAGTTATGGTGAATATAAGACTCTAGTTTCTTCAAAATAAATCTTAATATTGAAACATTTAATCTACCACTTTTTTTCTTTATAAATAAATTAGGGAGTACATTATGTGAGAATCGGAATGTTGTTTAGTATTGTGCATATTTTGTTTCAGCCTATCCGAAGACCGGATTTCAATTTATAAACAATCCTCATAATTGACACAATTTTGAACTTCGTGACTCTGTATCTTGGCGAACAAAAAACAAGGGGCGCGCTCAAATGATCAGAAAGTCGGGTCCACAATCGTGGTTGCCGGGAGAAAAGTGTTGCACCAAGCAGACTCCTCAATTCTGCTTTTAACATGTAAAGTCTATGGCGGGCTTGTCATACTTTGAATCGATTT